ATGGGTGGTGGGGGAGAGAGAGAGGGGAGGGGAGGCAGATACAGTAGATAGCGATAGATAAAGATATAGATATAGAGATACAGTAAGCAGATAGATGATAGATAGATGATTGACAGACAGACAGATAAGACAGACATATAGGCAGATGGATGGATGGATGGATGGATGGATGGATGGATGGATGGATGGATGGGTGGGTGGGTGGGTGGGTGGATGGATGGATGGAGAGATAGATAAAACAGACAGACACATAGATAGGCAGATACATAGGTAGATAAATAGGCAGAGAGATAGAGAGAAAGAGACGATCGATAGAGAGAGAGACAGACAGACATAACACAGACAGACAGACAGACACATAGATAGATAGATAGAGACAGACAGACAGACAGACAGACAGACAGACAGACAGACAGAAACAGACAGGAGAGGGAGGAGAGATAGGCAGATAGATGATAGATAGACAGACAGACAGATAAGACAGACACATAGGCAGATAAATAGGTGGATGGATGGATGGATGGATGGGTGAGTGGGTGGGTGGATGGATGGATGGATGGATGGATGGATGGATGGATGGATGGAGAGATAAGACAGACAGACACATAGATAGGCAGATACATAGGTAGATACAGTAAATAGGCAGAGAGATAGACAAACAGAGAGAGAGACGATCGATAGAGAGAGACAGACAGACAGATAACACAGTCAGACAGACAGACAGACAGACAGATAGATAGATAGATAGATAGATAGATAGATAGATAGATAGATTAGATAGATAGATAGATAGATAGATAGATAGATAGAGACAGACAGACAGACAGACAGACAGACAGGAGAGGGGCGGGGCAGGGAGGGGAGGAGAGGAGAGAGGGAGATAGATAGATAGATAGATAGATAGATAGATAGATAGATAGATAGATAGATAGATAGATAGATAAAAGAAGAGTAATATGATAGAATGGATGGAGGTTCAACCTCTCTCTCAAAGAGAGGTCCAGCCTAGAACTAAGGAGAAACATCCTAACAGTGAGAACAATTACCCAGTGCAAAGGCTTTGCCTTCAGAGGTTGTAAGTGCTCCATCGCTGGAGGATTTCAAGAAGAGATTGGGCAGCCATTTCTCTGGTCTAATAGAGGGTTTTCTGCCTGAGCAGGTGGTTGGATTAGAAGACCTCCAAGGTTCCTTCCAACCTATTATTCTATGTTCTAAGAAATAAAATTGGATTCATCCTTACACTAAATAGCAGCGGGAGTTTATCTCTTCCAAGCATATTTAGTGGTAATCTATTAGCTTGCCCGTGCTTTGCTTGCCGGCTAAATTAATATGCAAATGCTGGTTCTTTATCTGTATTTTTTTTTTTTTTTTGGTTTAATGCAACAAACCAAACTAATTAAATGCCCGATTGAGTAAACCGATTGCAATCCTGTGTTCTGCATCTACCCGGTCTGAATCCAAGATTTCTAAATGTCATCACCGTCTTGTCTTTTGATCTTCCTAATGGAAGATTAAGCGCTTAACCCCTTCCGCTGGCACCGATGATGCAAAGAAAATTGATTTTGAAATGAATAATAGCCTTCCTTCTTCCACTTCTCCAGATGCTTCATTCAAGATTGCTGGGGGGTATTTGCCTCCTTATTCATGTAATGGGGCTCCTCTGGATTCGGAGAATATCGCTTTCAAAGTGTTTTCTCTAAACGTTTTCTAAGATGAGAAAAATAACCGTCATCTCTGAGGAAGGCCAGAGAAGAAGCAACTTGTTGTTGTTGGATTGGAGATCTATCTAGGTGTTGTGGCCCGTCAGTGACCTGTGCGGATTGTAGCTGATTCTGACAGCGAGGAGGCTGGTGTGGTGTTGCGCCAGCAGCCTGTGCAGCTGGCACTCAAGTCAGACAGTGAGGAGGCTGGAGAAGATGTGGTGCCATAGACGGGGATTCATCCAGGGCCTTCAGAACCTCCAGAAGCTCCTTTAAGTGAAGAGGAAGAAGAGGAGGAGCCTCTTCTCGATGCATGGACACACAGAGCTGCCAAAAGGCAGGAGTGGCTCCTCAGGAGGAGGTCTCCTCGAGAGTAAGGCTTGGGGCTAATTGGCCACTCCCTTATAGCCTATTTAAGGAGGAATGCCGACTGAAGCAATTTGCAGGGAACAACTTTAATTCGCTACTACTTCGTGTCTGGATTCTCTGCAAAATTGCTTCTGGGCTTTCTGCCAACCTTAGTAAGATTGGGATTACTTTATCTTTGGTTTCTTGTAGGCTGTTAAGAAAGTTTATTAACAGCCTTTGTTTGGAAAAGACTTGAGTTATTTTAGTAAATTTAAGTTCTGTATAGACTTTGTGTGTGCTGTGTTCTTTGGGGTCCGTAGCTGGGGCAGAACACTAGGAGAAAACTTTTAAAGAGTTGCAAAACCATATTTAAGAATTTGAAGGAGAATATTTGTAGCTCGGGGTTGAACTGTGGGGTCCTCGGCGCTCTCTGAGATTGGTTGTTTTATTGCAGACGTTTCATTACCAAACTAGGTAACATCATCAGTGCTAGAAGGGAATGGGGTTTGCGAGGAGGATGTTGTGACCTAGGCTCACTTAGTCATTGCAGGACACAATTAGTCTCAAACAAAACTATGTTATTGTAACAGCTGAGAATTACTTTGTTCCCAGCTTAGTCCAAATTAATTCCAAAACAAGTCATTCAGAAAAAGTCCTTTGGGCTTATCACAAACCTTTATCTTCTTTGACACCCTGCCAACGGCCTTTCTTGGCAAAGCCCCACAAAGTTCAGAAACAAGAGACGCCGATTGGAAAACAGATTTAGCAATGTTGCTTTCCTACAAAGAGCCCAAGAGCCTTTGCTGCTCTTTTAAGCCTTATGGGAGGGGCCAATCATCTCCTGGCCTTACTCCCGAGTCGTCCTTTTTGCTTTAGCTGCTCTTGCCTTCTGGCAGTTGTGCACATGCGTGCACTGGGAACAGGCTCCTACTGTTCCTCTGCCTCTCTGCTTTCTGACTCTGGAGGCTCCAGGGTCCGCACATAACTCCCAGATGGCCCTGGCCCCATCTCTGCCTCTGACGCAGACCCCTTGTCTGGGCCTTCCCCTGACTCCATGACTGGCCCATGTTCCTCCCCAGCGTCCTCACTGTCTGACTTGGCTGGCAGCTCCGCAGGGTACTGGCGGACCACAACAGAGGAGGAGGAGGAGGAGGAGGAGGAGGAGGAGGAGGAGGAGGAGGACGACGACTGTGGGGTCTTTGGTGCTCTCCGAGCATGGTTGCTTTCTTACAGACTGTTATGTATTGGAGATAATTGCTAGTTGAAGGTTTTATCCTGGTTATCTGTTGGAGTGGGGAAATACTCTCTCCTGATTGGTTGTTAGCTGCTAAGTTCCCTATAAAAGGAACTATATCAGCTAGGGAGTTTTTAAGTTGCCTTACAGACAGAAATAAATCAAGAGCTGTTAGAGATAACTCTGGCTTCACCTCCATTCTTCACCCAGAACTTAACACAGACATTTCATTACCCAACTAGGTGACATCATCAGTGCTATGATAGAAGGGAGTGGGTGTTAATGGAAAGGAGGAAGAGTGTGGGGTCTTTGCTGCTCTCTGAGTTTGGATCCCTGACATATAGGATTTTCACATCGGACTTTCTCATAATTTTTGATTTCATGATTTCCTTTTGAGAGTTATTGTACCGTATTTCTGATTTTTTAATTGTTTTTCATCTGGGTCCATCAGGACATGATGATTGATTGAAACACGGGGTTAGGGGAAAGAGGAACAAGATAAGCAAAAACCGTTCTGGTTTAACTTTTAACAGCTTCATAGCATCACATAATAACAGAGTTGGAAGGGACCGTGGAGATCTTCTAGTCCAGCTCCCTGCTCAAGCAGGAGACCTTATACCATTTCAGACAAATGGTTGTCCAACATCATCTTAAAAACTTCATGTGTTGGAGCATCTACAACTTCTGAAGGCAAGTTGTTCCACTGGCTAATTGTCCTCACTGTTAGGAAATTCCTCCTTTAATTCTAGGTTGCTTCTCTCCTTGTTTAGTTTCCATCCATTGCTTCTTGTCCTGCCTTCAGGTGCTTTGGAGAATAGCTTGATTCCCTCAGTGTTAGGGAATGGCTATTGCCTAACTGGTTGAGTTGGCAATATATATAAACCATCAATGCATGTTTGCAGTCAAAATGTAATGTATAGCTTTAAGACTGTAATGCTGTATTGCATCATACTGTATTCTGATTGGCTAGCTCTGTAGCCAACGTATTTAAGAGGAAGCTTGAATCATGGCTTATTTTTCTTATTACATTATTATTGCTACCTCTGCTCCTCTCTGCCTGTTCTTTCTGCATGATCACTGATTGATCATTGCTACTTGTTGTTTTCTACTGTTTTACTGATTGTTTTACTGCTGTACTTGTTCCTGTTTGCAACTCCAAAAAGAACTGTTTTATTGCATATGACTACAACAACTGGTAAGAAGACTTTGTTCTTGGAATATCCCTAGATTGACAATTTAACTATCTTTATCTGTGTATGACCTGGATTGTTTATTGGACTTTGCTTTACTTTTTCCTAAAAGTAAAAGAATATCACAACTCAGTGTGTCTGTGTATTGACAGTGCTTAGTCACAATCACTCTCAGCCATTTCTCATGTGCACAACCTTGCTACTCAAGGGTTACTCTGCTCATATTCCTTAACAGGCAGCCCCTGAGATATTGGAAGACTGCTATCATGTCACCCCTAGTCCTTCTTTTCATTAAACCAGACATACCCAATTCCTGCAACCATTGTTCTTATGTTTTAGCCTCCAGTCCCCTAATCCTCTTGGTTGCTCTTCTCTGCACTCTTTCTCAAGATCTTTTTTATGTCGTGCTGATGACCAAAACTGGACACAGTATTCTAAGCGTGAGCTTACCAAGGCATTGCAAATTGTAGATATCACACAATGTGGATGTACGACTTACCTTCTTCATTTTTTTCTTTTCTTTTCCAGCTTGTTGCATTAGAGAGACAAGTGTTTGATTTTCTGGGCTACCAATGGGCTCCGATTCTGGCCAATTTCCTCCACATCATCATGGTGATCCTTGGCCTTTTTGGGACAATCCAGTACAGACCACGCTACATTGTGGTGGTGAGTTTGCTAACGATTCTAAGGCTGGCGTGCGACGTCCAGATGGGGATTTGGGGGGCTTAGTTTTTGGAAGATGCATAGAACTAAATTGCAGGAACGGGCCATCAGAACCAGTGATTGCAGTCTGTCCTCGACTTATGACCCCAATTGAGCCCAACATTTCCGTTGCTAAGCGAGACGGTTGTTAAGTGAGTTTTGTTCCATGTTATGTTAGAGATGAGAATATCTAACATAACTTCAGTGCTGACACAGATGGTGTACCAGCTGCCTGATTTAGAACAAGATCCAGCAAAGAAGATGACCCGTGATCTGATCCTCTTTCTGGATTCAAAGATGTTCTTTATTCGGATCTTGGAACTAATTCCTTGCATCCATTCTGCTTATTTTGGAAGGCTTCCATTTGAGAAGAAAAATATGATTTTTCTATCCTCTCCAATATCAGTGAGCATGTATGAATTTGGTAAGTCCGGATTTATGTCCAGGTAGTCCTGGACATACAACCACAATTGAGCCTAACATTTCTGTTGCTAAGAGAAACAGTTGTTAGCTTAATTTTGCCCCATTTTATGACCTTTCTTCCCACAATTGTTAAGTGAATCATGGTAGTTTCCAAGTTAGCAACACAGTTACTAAGTAAATCTGGCTCCCCCACTGACTTTGCTTGTCAGAAGGTCACAAAAAGAGGATCACACAGAGGTGAAATGCTACTGGTTCAGATCGGTTTGCTCGAACCGGTAGTAAAAATGCTACCAGTTCGGGCGAACCGGTATTTCCGACGATCAGCTGTGCTGCGTGATTTATAGAAAAGCAGGAAATCCTGCTTTCTAGCGAATCTAAATCGTGCGGCACAGCTGTTCTCCCCCCTCGCTGTTCTACTTACCTTCAGAAAAGGCTTCTTAATCCTTTTTCAGTGCTGCGCAGTAGCGCTTGTAGTGTGCATGCCTGCGAAGCGCATGTTTGGTGTGCATTGCGCATGCGCAGGTGAAGCGAACCAGTAGAAGGCTTCAGAGCATTTCACCCCTGGGATCACATGACCCCAGGGACACTGCAACCGTCATAAATACTAGTCAGTTGCCAAGCATCTGAATTTTGTAGGTATCTACAATGATCACAACATCCTGGGTAGTGTGATCCCTATTTGTGACCTTCCCAGCCGGCTTCCGACCAGCAAAGTCAACGGGGGAAGCTGGATTCATTTAACAACCACACGAGTTGCTTAGCAACTGCAGTGATTCACTTAACAACAGACCAAAAAAGGTCATCAGATCAGGCACAAACTTCCCCCCAAGCGACCGTTTTGCTTAGCAATTCTAGTCCCCATTGTGGTTGTTAAATTGTGGACTACTTTTATTTATTATTAGTTCAATTTATATATGGCGCCCTTCTCCGGAGACTCAGGGCTGCTTACAATGCATTAAGCAATAATAGCCTTCATACTTTTGTATATACCTGTTTAGTAGGGCTTTCGCCCCCCCACCCAAGCGGTGTTCTTTTTTATACAAAGTCAGCTTATTGCCCCCACAATCCGGGTCCTCATTTTACCTACCTCGAAAGGATGGAAGGCTGAGTCAACCTTGAGCCTAGTGAGAATTGAACTCGCAGTAATTGCAGGCAGCTGGCAGCTAAATACTACTTTAACAGTAGTTTAGTCCACTGCGCCATCAAGGCTCTTATTTATTTATCCGCCTTCAATGCAAATATTTCCTTTGGTGCTTGGAACAGTTGCAGGGCCAATTTTTAATTCCTGGGGTGATCCAGAAAAACTTCCAATCGCATTTTCACAAATTGCCAGACAAGGGCATGTCGGGCATTTTTTTCCCCCCATAGTAACAGACGATTGTTTTAAACCTGGCCTGTTGCTGTTTATACAAATTCAAACATGCCATCAAGTCTTCAGCTTGTCTGTCTCCCATAACACATTTGAATGCCACCAGGGGCAATTGAGATTATAAGCAGATAATTGCTTTTTCAGCTACCCCTTCCAACGGAGGTGACTTAATTCACTTCAATCCAACGTTTTCACTTTGTTCTGCAGCCTTTTGGCGGGGGAAAAAACAATGAAACAATCTGGCAGTTCATAATACAAGGGGGCTGCAGTTTTTAATTGCCGGCCTAAAGGGCCTTTGCCTGTGGCATCGTTTTTCTATGGAGTTGGCCATCCATGGTAATCATCATTAGTCTTTGTATTATGTAACAGAGCCTTGGGAGTCTTTCCATTCCAAACAGCCATAAGACAAACTCTTTTTTGCAATTTGAGTAATCCCCTTGTTACCTGCCAGAGCTGATGTCAGCGTTACTGCGTAGGACAAACACGAAACATAACCAAATAAGCTAAATTCTATTTTATTTTTTCTATTTTTCTTTTTAATTTTGATTTATATGCCGCCCTTCTCCGGAGACTCAGGGCGGCTTACAGTGCGTTAAGCAATAGCCTTCATACTTTTGTATATTTATACAAAGTCAGCTTATTGCCCCCACAAACTGGGTCCTCAATTTACCTACCTTAGAAAGGATGGAAGGCTGAGTCAACCTTGAGCCTGGCGAGATTCGATCTTACTTTAATTGTAAAGCTACATTTAACTCGAATCTTGGAAGTCTGAAAGCACAATTCTCAGCTCTAGGTTTCCTAGTGCAGGGCAGAGGTGGATTTCAGCAAGTTCTGACCAGTTCTGGAGAACCGGTAGCAGAAATTTTGAGTCGTTCGGAGAACCAGTAGTAAAAATTCTGACTGGCCCCACTCCCATCTATTCTCTGCCTCCCGAGTCCCAGCTGATTGGGAAGAAATTGGGATTTTGCAGTAACCTTCCCACGGAGTGGGGTGGGAATGGAGATTTTGCCGTATCCTTCCCCTGCCACACCCACCAAGCCACGTCACGTCCACCACGCCACACCCACAGAACAGGTAGTAAAAATTTTTGAAACCCACCACTGGTGCAGGGGTTTCCAATCCAGGGGTGGGCTTCAAAAATTTTGGCAAGGGGTTCTCTGCTCCGTTGCTGGGTGTGCATGGCGTGATCTAGTCAGCCTCCTGCACCATGGCAGGTGTGTGTGGCATTTTTGCTCTCCAGGCTCTGGAGGCTTTTTTCGAGCCTCCGGGAGGGCGAAAATGGCCTCCCCAGGCTCCGGAGGCCAGAAACAGGCCCATTTCTGGCCTTTCTGAACTTCCAATAGACCCATTTTTCGCCCTCTCCCAGCCTCCACATGCACCCTGCACTTACCTGCGTCCAAAACAGACCATGTGGGGACTCCTGGGAGGGGAGGGGTGGGGTGAGCGGGGCCAGCCAAGAGTGGGATTTGGGGGTTCTCCGAACTGCACAGAATCTTAGCTAGAGGTTCTCTCGAACCTATGTGAACCCTCAGCAGCCCACCCCTGGGCCGAACACCACTGGCCAGCGGCCCGTTCAGAACCGGGCCACATAAGCGGTGGGCGCTTGTGTTCACGCGCGAAGTGCAACTACAACTGACTTCCCCCATTGTCTTTCCTCGTTCAAAGATAAAGACACCCAAAAAATGTTAAGTGAATTTTCTTCTAAAGACACCCCAATAATGTTAAGTGAATTTTGTCCCATCTTATGACCTTTCATGCCACGGCTGTTAAGTGAATGACTGCAGCTGTTAAGTTAGTAACACGGTTGCTAAGTGAATCTGGCTCCCCGATTGACTTTGCTTGTCAGAAGTTCGCCAAAGGAGATCACATGACAAGGGTGCAAATTTTGATCATGTGACCACGGGGATGCTGCAACAGCCGTAAGGGTGAAAAACGGTCCTCAGTGCTGTTGTAACTCTGAATGGTCACGGAATGAATTGTTGTAAGTCAAGGACTAGGTAGTCCTTGACTTACAACGATTCATTTTGTGACCATTCAGAGTTACTTAGATGGTTTGGGAAAGGCGATTAAAAAAAAAACATTTTCAATAAGCACCAAGATTGTTTATTCTCTCCCTTTTTTCCCCCTTTCTTGCATGTCACCATCCTTCTACCCAGTACGCCATCTGGACGGCCATTTGGGTCACCTGGAATATTTTCATCATCTGCTTTTATTTGGAAGTTGGCGGCCTTTCGAAGGTGAGTGACATTTGGCTCTGAGCATCCAGGAACAATGAAAAGAGGGGAGCAAAGGGGTCTGGCCAGTGGGGGCCTTGGCTTTAAGTCTGCTGGTGGAGAGAATCGGTTAAGTTGAGATTCAATTCATTCAGAATGTTGTGGCTCCGTTACCGGAGCCTGTGTCATCGGCAGGAGAGGACTCCGAGAGTGAAGGAGAGGAGTTGGCAAGGCCTCCCTCTCCAGGACCCTCCTCTCTGGCAATGCCTTCGGTGTCCGCTGAAGGGCAAGAGATAGGGCCGGGGCCAAGCACGTCCACCCAGCCACAGGTGGACAGTGATGAGGATAATGAGTCTTGGCTGGATCCTCGGCAGCGTCGCAGAGATAAGCGCGCACAACAGAAGAAAAGGTGTGCCAGAGATTAAGCTGAGTCACTGGACCACACCCCAAAGGGTATAAAAGGGGGTGAGGTGGACATTCAGACTCTGTGACGGACAAAACTAACTACTATCGAGTCACATTGCATCTTTGGAAACATTATCGGCCTTGGATTTATTTTACGAACTGGACAATTCTTGACTGTGGGTATTTTGTTTATTGAGTAAAAGTTCTTGGCAAGGAGCTACTGGGTTGCTGCCAAGCATCTTATCGGAAGAATTGGTTGTCTGCCAGTTTATTTAACCACCGGCTGTCTGTTTGTGTGTGTGTGAGAGACGGGGACAGAACACAGAATAGAGCTGGAAGGGACCTTGGAGGTCTTCTAGTCCAGCCCCCTGCTCAGGCAGGAAATCCTATACTATTTCAGACAAGTGACTGTCTAGTCTCTTCCTAAAAGCCTCCAGTGATGGAGCACTCACAACTTCTGGAGGCAAGCAGTTCCACGGGTTAATTGTCCTCGCTGTTAGGAAGTTTATCCTTTATTCCAGGTTGCTTCTCTCCTTGATTAGTTTCCATCCGTTGCTTCTTGTCTTGCCTTCTGGTGTTTTGGAAAATAGGTTGACCTCCTCCTCTTTTGTGGCAGCCCCCAGGACTTGGTTGGTTCTCTCCTTGATTAGTTTCCATGCATTGCTTATTCTCCTCTCTGGAGAGGACCTTGGAAGGGACCTTGGAGGTCTTCTAGTCCAACCCCCTGCTCAGGCAGGAAACCCTGTACCATTTCAGACAAATAGTTGTCCAACCTCTTCTTAAAAACTTCCAGTGTTGGAGCATTCACAACTTCTGGAGGCAAGTTGTTCCACTGTCAGGAAATTTCTCCTTAGTTCTAGGTTGCTTCTCTCCTTGAACAGCAGGAAGGAGCTGGTGGTCAGAGTGAAGTGGGTCACCAGCTTAGAGTCGTTACGTTCCCACAAATGGTCTAAATCCAACTCCTCTTGAATTGAATGTTGATTCTTATCTGATGTAAATTTAGTCCTAGGTTGTTTCTCTCCTGGATTAGTTTCCATCCATTGTTTCTTGTTTTGCCTTCTGGTGTTTTGGAAAATAAATTGACCCCCCCTCCTCTTTGTGGCAGCCCCTCAAATACTGGAATACTGCTATGACGTCACCCCTAGCCCTTCTTTTCTCTAAACTGGCCATATCCAAATTTGACAATCTGCAAATTCGATGAGAGAGAGGGCCAAGTGTGGGTTTCAAGAAGTCTTTGTGAGTGAAGAGTCTGCTGGCTATCACGCTTTTAAGATTCAGTCTGGAAAGAGAAGCAGGGAAGGGGAGGGGCACGTATGGAAGAGGGGATTAAATTATTCTTCCAGAAACTGAATCCAATTTAGTGCTTTAATGCCTCTCCAAAAGAAAAGGCTATCAGTCATTGCAAGCTTCCCTTCCACGGTATGGAGAGTAAATTAATTTCTTGAACGCCATCCAGTGTCACTGTCTGTTGTTGTGTGGATTCCTCTTGCCTCTTCAAACCCTTTTCCTGCCCAGGGCAGGTCTTTTAAGCTTAACATTTCAAAGTTCTTATTACTTAAATATAAGTGTGTGTATGTGTATGTGTATGTGTGTATGTGTATGTGTATGTGTATATGTATATGTATATGTATATGTATATGTATATGTATATGTATATATTATATGTATTCCGGGTCTTATATTATTTTTTGCTCCAAAAGACACATTAGGGCTTATTTTCTGGTTAGGTCTTATTTTCGGGGAAATACAGTACTAAATGCATCTGTCTGCTGACAATCTTAATTGGGGCTTATTTTGGGGGTAGGGCTTATTTTACGAGCATCCTGAAAAATCATGCTAGGATTTATTTTCCAGTTGGGTCTTATTTTGGGGGAAACAGGTTGTATGTGTGTATGTATATGTATATGTATATGTATATGTATATGTATATGTATATGTATATGTATATGTATATGTATATGTATATGTATATGTACCCCAGGTCTTATATTAATTTTTGCTCCAAAAGACACATTAAGGGCTTATTTTCTGGTTAGGTCTTATTCTGGGCGAAATACAGTACTAAATGCATCTGTCTGGCTGACAATCTTAACTGGGGCTTATTTTGGGGGTAGGGCTATATTACGAGCATCCTGAAAAATTGCTAGGATTTATTTTCCAGTTGGGTCTTATTTTGGGGGGAAACAGGGTGTATGTGTATGTGTGTATGTATATGTATATGTATATTTTCATTTCATTTTCATTTTATTAAATTTGTATACCGCCCTACACCCGAAGGGCTCAGGGCGGTGAACAGGCACAAAATAAAATACATAAATACAAAAGTTAAAACATGATTAAAACCCAATTAAATAATTTTTGCCCGAGACAATTTAAAACTCCCAATAATTTAAAACGAATTAAAATTTCAATTTAAAAATTTAAAAGAAGGGGAGAAAATTAAGCCAGGCCGGCCTGCTGGAATAGGAGTGTCTTCAAAGCACAGCGGAAAGTGCGCAGATCCAGGATCCTCCGTATCTCCGGGGGGAGTTCGTTCCAGATAGTAGGTGCCCCCACAGAGAAGGCCCTCCCCCTAGGGGCCGCCAGTCAACATTGTTTGGCTGACGGCACCTGGAGGAGCCCCTCTCTATGAGAGCGTACCGGCCGGTGGGAGGCTGTTTGTGGTAGTAGGCGGTCCTGTAAGTAGCCAGGTCCTAAGCCATGGAGCGCTCTAAAGGTGGTAACCAAAACCTTGAAGCGCACCCGGAAGACCACCGGGAGCCAGTGCAGCTCGCGCAGGAGAGGTGTCACACGGGAGTGCCATGTTGCTCCCATAACCACCCGCGCGGCCGCACTCTGCGCCAGTTGGAGCCTCCAGATGTTCCTCAAGGGGAGCCCCATGTAGAGAGCATTACAATAGTCCAGGCGGGAGGTAACGAGGGCATGAGTGACTGTGTGTATATGTTTATGTTTATGTTTATGTTTATGTTTATGTTTATGTTTATGTATATGTATATGTATATGTATATGTATATGTATATGTATATGTACATATAGGGAGACTTCTTATGTGTCCACATCAACTAACCTCAGGACACACTAGAGTCCCTTGAAGGTCCAGGTAGTCCTCTACTTACAACAGTTCATTTAGTGACTGAAATTAAAAAGCACTGAAAAAAAGGGACTTGTGACCATTTTTCACATTTATGACCATTGCAGCATCCCCAGTTAAAGAAAACACAGGAAGACTTCTTATGTGTCCACATGTACAGTTAGTACTTACAACAGTTCATTCAGTGACTGTGAAAAAGTACAACAGAGCTGAAAAAAGTGACTTAGGACCAGTTTTCACACTTAATGACGGTTGCGGCATCCCCGTGGTCACATGATCCAAAGTTAGACACTTGACAACTGACTCATATTTATGATGGTTGCAGTGTGTCCCGAGGCCAGGTGACACAGTGGTGAAATCTAAAATTTGTTACTACCGGTTCTGTGGCTTGGGGGGGGGGGGTTATTTGTCATGGGTGGGCATGGCCATTTTTTTTTTTTTTACTTTTAAAACCATTTTTTCTACAACCCCTTCGGCGAAGAGGTTGTAAAAAAATGCTTTCAAAAGGCTGTGACGATCCCAGCTGAGTTGCCTGATCCTCAGAGGGTTTTTTAAAAAAAGCCTCTGATGATTGCGCGGCTCAGCTGGGCATGGGGGGGCCAGGGATTTTTGCTACCAGTTCTCCGAACCACCCGCCTCCATCGCTACCGGTTCGGGCAATCCGGTCCGAACCGGGAGCATTTCACCCCTGGGTGACCTTCTGATAAGCAAAGTCAATGGGGAAGCCAGATTCACTTAACGACCATGTTATTAACTACCGTATTTTTCAGACTATAAGACGCACCGGTGTATAAGACGCACCAAGATTTCAAAGAGGTAAGTAAGGAAAAAAAAGTTTTTGCCCTCCCTGGCATTCAGGAGCACTCTGTAAGCCACCCAAACTCTCTGCGCGCCCTGTTTTTTTGCAAAAATGGACCCATTTTTTGTCCATTTTTGCAAAAAATGAGGCACACAGAGGGTTTGGGAGGCCTGCAGAGTGCTCCTGGGGTGTGGGGGAGGGCAAAAATGACCCTGTTTTTGCAAAAATTGGGGAAAAAATGGCCCTGTTTTTTGCAAAAATGGAACGAGAGGGGCGGGATTTGGGGAAGTCAAAAATGGCTGTATTCGGTGTGTAAGACGAACCAATATTTCCACCCTCTTAGAGGGGAAAAAGTTGTGTCTTATACTCTGAAAAATACGGTAACTGCAGCGATTAATTTAACAACTGTGGCAAGGAAGGTCATAAAATGGGGCAAAAGCCATTGCACAACTGTCTTGCTTAGCAACAGAAATCTTGGGCTCAGTTTGGTTGTAGGTCGAGGACTACCTGTCCAACACTTCTTCCTGGATGCAAATGTTTGTGTGTAATTCCAGACCTTTATAGAGTTGTTTGCTGTGAGTAGCTAGAAGTACATTTTCTCTCCCCAGCCCCACCCCCACCCCCGGTATCTCTGTTTGACTTAAAAGTGGTATGTTGTCGTTTTTTCAGAATACACCTCTGATTGTGTTTACGTTTTTTCAAAGTTAGATTTAAGGAAAGGACGTAAGAAGAGCTGTTTCGGAGATTGGGAACTGTCCTTGCAATCAGCTTAGAAAAACGAAGTAAATATTCAGTTACCCGTCTATAGAGAGAGAGTTGAGTTGTGACAGTTGCAAATCAATTTCCACAATATTAGCCTTACACGCTGGGAGTTGATCCAGACTGAAAACAAATCTTTTTAATGCTGATGTCCTTGTTGTAGTTGGCTTCTCCCGAAGGATTCTGAGAATCGCAGTTTATTGACAGTATTGGATTACCCCAGGAAAAAATAGCTATTCTCCCTTTCTGGCTCCCTGGAATGCTAGAATTCAGGATTTCCTGGGCGGTGGAAATACTCAATAGAATAAATCTATGGTGTTAACAGTTTTGATGGGATTTCATTCTGTTTCATGGAGCTTAGAACTGTTGAGTGCTCTTTCTTCTTCTTCTTCCTCTTCCTCTTCCTCTTCCTCTTCCTCTTCCTCTTCCTCTTCTTCTTCTTCTTCTTCTTCTCCTCCTCCTCCTCCTCCTCCTCCTCCTCCTCCTCCTCCTCCTCCTCCCCCCCTCTTTAAGCACTGATGATATTAACCTATTTAATATAGAAGTATAGTATAGAAGTCCAATAAATCTAATCTAATCTAATTTAATTTGAGTCGTGAAATGTCTGTAAGAAAAGCAAGCTGAGAGTACACCAAGGAACCTACAATTCTCCTCCTCTTCCTCCTCCTCCTCCCGTCCTCCTTCCCTCTGTCTCCTCCTCCTCCATATCTCCATCTTCCTTCCTCTTCTCTTCTCTCTCCTTCTCTCTTTTTCTCTCTCCTTCTCTTCCCCTTTCTTCTTCTATCAAGGGAGATACAAAGCGCTGCTTCTTATTCTTCTGGTGGCCTCAACTATTGTTAATTGATGTTGATGTGGTGTGACTTTGAGGTTGTCTTTTCATCATCTCCTAGGTCTGCCTCATGTGCTTTGACCTTCTTCTTTTTTGTATATGCCCTATATCAGGGGTGTCAAATTCGATTTCTTTGAGGGCCACATCAGGACTGTGTTTGATCTCGGGGGGCCAGCTCGATGTCACTTGTGTTGGGGGCACCTGTGGTGGCCCAAATGCTCTGCCAGTAAAAATGGGCTCCCGAGTTTCGTTTTCGGCTGCGATGGCTTCCTGCAACCCTCTGCTAGAGAAAATGGAGTTCCCAAGCTCCGTTTTTACTGGCTGTTGTGGCCCGTACACGGCCTGTGCAGCTAGTAGCTGATTCAGACAGTGAGGAGGCTGGTGTGGTGCTGCGCCAGCAGCCTGTTCAGCTGGCACTCGAGTCGGACAATGAGGCTGGAGAAGATGTGGTGCCAAAGGCGGGGATTCAGCCAGGACCTTCAGAATCTCCAGAAGCTCCTTTAATTAAAGAGGACGAAGAGGAGGAGCCTCTTCTCAATGCACAGGCGCGCAGAGCTGCCAAAAGGCAGGAGTGGCTCCTCAGGAAGAGGTCTCCTCGAGAGTAAGGCTTGGGGCTAATTGGCCACTCCCTTAGCCTATTTAAGGAGGAACACCAACTGAAGCAATTTGCAGGGAACAACTTCGTTCACATACCTTCGTGTCTTGTCTTGCTTATCTTATCAGCTTCCTGCAAATTGCTTCTGGGCATTCTGCCAACCACAGTAAGTTTTCAGTTATTATTCTTTGAATTCTTGGCGGCTGTTAATGCAGTTAATTAACAGCCGTTGTTGTAAAAAAACTGGTTTATTTAGTAAACTAAGGTTTGTACAGACTTTGTGTGTGCTGCGTTCTTTGGGTCCGTAGCTGGGGCAGAACACTGGCAGAGGCACTGTGGGCCGGTCCTTTGCTGCTTCCAGGGCGGCCCTGCGGGCCAGCTCTAAGCACCCTGCAGGCCAGATCCGGGCCCCGAGCCTTGAGTTTGACACACCTGCCCTATATAGTTTATCGAAGTTCTGCCACAATGAAATGATCTAAGATTTGGATGGGATGCTGGAAAGAATGTTGAGTATTTTGGCATTTGTTGCTGACTTAAAGTTGCTTCCCAAGAGGTACAGGTAATCCTCGACTTGCAACCATCTGCTTAATGACTGTTTGAAGTTACAATGACAGTGATTGTTGCAGCCCTCCCCATGGTCAAGGGATCAACATTCAGAGGCTTGGCAACTGACTCATCTTTATGACGGTTGCAGTGTCCCGGGGTCACGTGATCCCCTTTTGTGACCTTCTGATGAGCAAAGTCAATGGGGAAGACAGATTCACTTAACCATGTCACAAACTTAACAACTGCAGTGATTCACTTAACAACAACGTTCATAAAGTGGGGCAAAATTAAGCTAACAAGTGTTTCTCTTAGCAACAGACATTTTGGGTTCAATTGTGATTGTATATCCAGGACTACCTGTGTTCTGACCTAGGCTTCCTGAGACAGTAAAAAACACACAATTAGTCCCCAAAACCCTCTTTTTATTTCAACGGCTGTGAATTCTGTTCATTCACAGCCTGTTCATTCTCATTCTGTTCATTCACAGATGAGTCCGAAATAGTTTGTAAAGAGTCCGACAGAAGTCTGCCACAGTCCTTCGGGATAAGGCTGATAAGCACCCATCTTTATCTCCCTTGACACGCTGCCAAAGACCTAATTGGCAAACTAGGTTTGCAAGGCCACACGGAGCACAGAGTCAAAACGGAGCTTCAGAATTTAAACCAACCAGCACGAACAAAGTTGCTTCCTGCAAAGGCTCACGTGCCTTTGCTCCACCTTACGGGAGGGGCCAATCATCTCCAAGCCCTACTCCCGAGTCGTCCCTTTTGTTTTAACTGTTCTTGCCTTCTGGCAGCTCTGCGCATGCGTGCACTGGGAACAGGCTCCCCCTGTTCCTCTGCCTCACTGATGTCCAACTCTGGAGGCTCCGGAGTCAGCACATAACTCCCAGATGGCTCTGGCCCAAGGGTGGGTTCTACTTACCTTTACTACCGGTTCGCAACAGGGCCGCACACTCTTCTGCACATGCGAAGAAGCTTCCTGATGACGTCCGGGTCAGTGGGCGAAGCCTCCCGCTGGTTTTACTACTGGCTCTTGCAAACCGGTCCGAATCAGGGGCAACCCACCACTGTCCTGGCCCCACCTCTGCCTCCGATGCAGAGCCCTCATCTGAGCCTTCCCCAGACTCCAGGACTGGCCCATGTCCCTCCCCAGCCTCCTCAC